AGAGAGAGAGCTTTAGAAACCTATTTCAGAGTAACTTTTTAGTGGCTTTTCCCCTTTGTTTGAGGGTTTTGCTAGACATCAGGCCCTGTCAAACTTCTGGTGTTTTAGGTTGTTCAGGATGTCAGACCTAGAAGTGACTTATTAACTATTTAGTGTTCTTGTTTTGGAGCTAACGAAACTGAAGCCCTGGGTAGTAAGTTGTCCATGGTCACTCAGTTCAAAACCAGGACTAGTTCTCCAGTGGCTTGGTGTCCAGGGCAGTACTCACTCTACCACAACAGGCTGGTTCTTTGGTTTTCTGAACTCTGGCTAACTTTTGGTCCTGTCTCCAGGTGGACTCCATGCTTTGCTAGTGCATATCTTGCCTTCCCTTCAGCTTTCCTGCCTGCCTTCCCTGTCCCTGGCACGTCAGGTATTCACAGTTTCCCTCCTGTCAGCTCTTGCCCACACACATCTTTGCTGTGTACTGAACTACCAGGTCCTGCAAACCTCCATACTTCCAGCCCAAGGAAATCTGTGCTTTAGGGTCTCTAAGGCCTCCAGAGTCCCAACTGGGTGACACCCAGAAGGTACACACAGGAGGGCTCTTCTTTTTGCCCCAGAACCTGTTTCTCTCTGTTCTTTTCCACTCCATTCTTTCCCCTGTCTTCTTTGCACTCTCTTTGTTCAAGCTCCCTGTCTTGCTCTTCTGCTTCATATTTCATTTTCCTCTTTTCTCTCTCCTTCCAAATCCTTAGCCTTTCCCCTCTTCCTCCTTCCCTGCCGTCATTTTCGTGTTTGCACCTTCCTGGTTCTCTTTGTGTTCTGCCCTGTTCCTCTCTTCCTTTCCTTTACCCGTCTTTCCCCTACTTTCCTTCCGCTGACCCTTCAACACATCTGTTTCCAATCTGGGTCCTGGAGGCGCCTGTTTGAAACAAAAAGCTCCCCCACCCTCAGGAACCTGGCACAAAAATTCCTGAAGAAACCTTCCCTCCCCCAATTCTCCAGTTTCCCCCAGATACTCCTGAAACTAAACACCAACCCCCAAAAGGACCCTCCACATCAAACGGTTCACGGCCAAACTGGACCAGGAACCACCCCCAGTCCCAAGCCTGCTCCAGGGCCCAGATGTGTGAGCCGTTTTCCATGGCCGACTGGGCGGTCCTCCGCAGCCAGATGTGCTCCTCTGTATGCGAGAGGCAGGGACAGAGGCGTCCGGCTCACTCCAGGGACTGCGGGAATATCCGACGAAAGCCAGCATCCTGGCTCAGACGCAGGAGTGTGTTTGCCCGGCAGTCCTGTCTCCCGCCCGCCCCGAGGCACTCACCTAGCCAGAGGAGGAGGAGGAGGGTCATCCCGATGCCCGGGGCGAGCACCTCCCGGCTTAGCCGCTGCCTGGGATGGCGGGGCGCAGCTGACGGACCTCGGGCGAACTGGGCGCGGCGCCTCGGGGTGCGCGCTGGGTGTCTGCGGCCATGTGCCGCCGCGGAAGCGGCCCCGCGCCCCGCGCTCCCGGGCGCAGAGGGGCTTCCAGCGCGCGCCCCACCAGCTAGCGCTTGGACAGGAGCTGGGACCAAGGTTAGGAAGGAAAAGGAGAGGCGGAAAGAAGCTACCGCTTCGTGAAACACTTTTCCCTGTTTGGAAAGAAAAGGAGTGAAGAAAGGGGCGGGGGGGGGCGGATAGAGTGAGCTGGAACCACATGGTTGCCTCCTCCCGGCAACCCCTCCCTCTCTCCTCGTTCGCCCCCGCCCTCCCAGCGTTGGAGGGCGCCGCAGGGGAGTCAGCTGGGCAGGGCCCCACCTCTGGGCCTGAGGGGACTCCGGGTGAACCCAGGCGGTGTGGCTGCGCGGGGTGCTCGGTGTAGGACAGATTTTCTGTGTTGGAGAGTCTGTAACACTTAGGCCAAGAGTCGAAGGATGAGGCCTTGTCAGTCTGCTCTGTTCTCACTTTGACCTTCTCTCCCTGTCTCTCGCATCTTTTTCTCTCTCACACACACACTCACTGATTCCTTTTCTCACAAATCTGTCTTTTCTCTCTCTCTCTCTCTCTCTCTCTCTCTCTCTCTTTCTGTCTGTCTCTCCCTCTCCCTCCCTCCCCTCTCTCTCCCTCCCCTCTCCACCGCCCCCGTGCCCCCCTCTCTCCATTTTTCTCCTATTTACATTCTTCTGGCCTTTCCTCTCTCACCTTCTCCCTCCCTGCTTTCCTCCCTCCTTTTCTCTTCTCCTTGGCCTCCCTGTTTAGTTTTGTCAGCATGATACAGACTGACCATACAGACAATTGAGCCTGGAAGTGACAAGATAGCCAAGCACCCATGTGATTGTTCTGACTCGCTGCCGGTGTTGGTACCACAGCCACCTTCCACTGGCTTTCCCTTGGCCTTTTGCATTGGCTCTTTCTCAGTCTGTGGTCTGTATCTAAGGTAGCTCACTCTAAGGTCTGGGCGGAGGTGATCTGGCCATCCCTCCAGGGAACAGGGGCCGGAACTCAGTAAAAGGGTCTGTTACAGGAAGCACTGGAGCAAACCACATTGCACCATCCCCTGACCCTATTTCAGAGAGAAAAGAAGGCAGAGGGCATGGCCTTTCCTCCGTGTGAGGGCAGATGCTCCCAGGCACCAGTGACCCCACCTAAGAGGCAGAGAGGGGGTGGCAGTTGGGAAGGTAGTGTCTGGATGGCCCGGGTCCTGTCTACTTTTGAGGACTCTGCAGCTCCCCAGCAGTGCAATTGGACTAGAAAAGAATAGGAAAATGACAGCAGTGCTCAGTTCTCAACTGCCTATAGCTCATGCTGTGCAACTGTGTCCTGTTGCTCTGGACCTTCAGTTTCTGGTCCTCAGCCTCTGGATGTCCCTGGGGCAGTGGATTCTCCTTTAGCCCCTGAAGACTTGAGGAACAGCTCACCTTTGACCACACCAGTGCCTATATTGGGAGCTGGGGCCAGAGCTCGGAGAAGTCAGGTTGCTGTAAGAATTAACCCCTACAGGCCTGGCAGGCTGCTGGATCACACACTTGCCGTGATTTTTCCAGTCCTCCAGTCTTCTCTCCAGAGTTCTTAGATCCCAGAAGCTATACAGTACTAATTAGCTAGTACTTTCAGGCTATAGTGAAAACCAAGCCATTTCATAGATGAGGAAAGCAGAGGCCTGGAGAGGTTATGGGATTCTCATGAGTTCACTCAGAAGGGTTGGCAAAAGCAGGGGCTGTTGGGATCAGCCGTAGAGTTGCTTTAGTAGAATTCCAGTATTTATTCACTGCCTTCCCCCGCTTCCCACCTTCTTCAATGACTATTATGCGCCTATGCTGTGCCAGATGCTTTTTAGGTGTTGAGAACACAAAATGGGTAGAACTTGGCTACTGACAGTTTTTAAACATTTGGAGCTAGTATATCATAGCATCAACTATGGACCAGAAAATAGGTTAATTATTTAATATTTATTTTTTAAACTTAATTCTTATGACAATGCTAAAACATAGGCATTTTTTACTCCATTTTAACCTAAAGAGGTTAACTATCTTGCCCCAGGTCACACAATATTAAAACCCCCCCATGACAATATTAATATTCTAAAATATTGTTATTTTTATATCATAAAATATTTAAAAGTTCTCTGACTCTGAGTACTTTGACTTTTTATTTTCTATTTCTTGTCTAATAGAAGGAATTTTAGCAATATAAATTGGCAGCTTTTGCCCACTATTGGATTGGCCAAGAGTAGAGAGCTTTAGTATCTTTTTCGTACCCATCAGGCTCCTTGCCTCCAGGCTTTAGTATAGACAGTAGACATTTTCTCAATATTATGCAAAGTGATGTGCATATGCAGCTTCAAGACAAGTCCCTTATCCTCCCCACTCTATGGGGATCTAAAGAACGCCACCCTAAACCTCTTCTCTAGAAGAATTCTAGAGCCAAATTAGGGTGTGCTTAAAACACTGGATGAAAAACCTGAAGCAGAGGAACTGGTTAGAACCTGTTGCATTAAGTGGGGAGATGAGATGAGAGTAGTGAAACAAACAAAGAAGATATTTGGAAGAAAGATTTGACAGATTAAATACCCAATGGTCATTGTGGGTAGGAGAGGGAGTGGAAGACAAAAGAGGCACCAAAGATAAGTATAAATAATCTGATATATTGTTATATATTCTAAGACCTCCTAGTATATGCCAGAGATTATAAGCATCATCGGTAAGCCTCATAATACCATATTATAATGAGGAAACTATGATCAAGAGAGTAAATAAATTGTTTATCATTACAGGGTTAGTCAATGACTGAGGCAAGATTTAAGGTCAGAAGATTGAAAGCGCAGTCTTTTGATGGTACTACTAACAAACTGAGCATCAAGTAAGTTAACTTGTCAGGAAGGGAAAGATAAATTTAATTTGAAACATGGTAACCTTGAGAGGATGATAAACTATTATCCATCTATCAATTCATTCATCCATCCATAATCCATTTGCCAATTTTTTTCAATCTATAATTCAGTGAATCTTTGTTAAGTACTATGTGCCAAGCCCTGGGAAATCAATGGTGAACAAAGTAAAAGTTGTCCTTGCCCTCCAGGTGTTTATTGTGAGTTAGGGAAGATGGACAACAAACAAGTAATCACAATGTGGGGTGAGAGATACACCAAAAAGGAAAGTGTAGAGTGCTATGGAGCTGATAGCAGGACCCTGTCCCTAGTGCAGGAGATGTCAAGGAAGACCTGAGAGGAGGGGGATAGTCCTGTGAACTCAGTGGGAGGAGAGCACAGTGAGAAAGAGGGAGATCTGTGATATTGTCTCTTCTCATGGGGCACCCAAGAACCATGAACTATGTCTTTCAATCCCTTTGAGCTCCAGTATCCAGCTATGCCCAGTTGTCTCAGATGAAGACACATGCTCATGAAGGAGTTTAGGAGAAGGCAGTTTTGGAATAATGGAAAGAGCTCTGGGCTAAGAGGCAGATAGTTTGAGTTCTTAGTGGCTTTGAATAGGTCACTTCAGTGAACCTCCCT